TGTTCCTGCTTTGTGCTAACTGAGCTGGTCCAGCTTATTTGAAGCAATTACTGTAACTGTACTATTGCTGATTGTGTGAATACGCCAACTACTGCAGGAAGCAATTCATACAGAAACCTATAGCAGGTTTTGCCAATATGGTGCCCTCCAGATTTTGTTGGACTAAAACTCCCTGGCCAGCATAACAAATCCAAAAGTGGCGAGATGTCCTGGGCTAGCCCTGGGCTACAACTCCCATAAGCCACAACCAGCATAGTCAGTGGTGAGGGATGATGGGAACTGTAGTCCAGCAACATCTGGAGCAGGGTAGTCCAATACATGGTCTGAGGGCCACATGTAGCCCTCAAGGACCTTTTTGGTGGCTGTTGGCACTGCCTTTCCAAGTGAGGCGCTGGGCTTTGGGAGGAAGCGAGAAGGCTTTGACAGGGACCTGGAGTCCTCCATCCTCCTAGTTAGCACATTCCCAGCTTTAGGAAGGTGGTGGGAGGGCTTGAGGATCCTGCCAGAGCCTTGTGCCTCATTCCCAAAGCCCAGCACCTCACTTAGCTGGATTTCGGAAGGCAGTGTGAGGGCTGGTGTGTGTGTGTCAATTTTTGACCTCACTCCCCACCCCCAATGTAATAACATAGTGTGCAGCCTGCGGGTTCCATGTTGAAAGACTCTTGCAGCCCACTTGGTATGAAAAGTTGGGCTGGTCTGATCTGGAGGTTTGCAAGTTTCCAGCCCTTCCTCCAGTCAAACTGATATTCTCCCATGGCTGCTTCACATTTAAAACAAAAAATCAGGAGCCTGTTCAGCTTATCTCTTGTGTAACATCTAGTTTGGCCTGTAGACCTGAGGAAACCCAGGTTCAAATTCCTGCACAGCCATGAAACCCATTTGGTATGCTACTATCTCTTCATGCCACCTCTCAATCATAGCCTCTTCTTTAAAAAGTCAGTAGAAAATTACACACACAGGACTATAGAACACAGGACATAGTTTGTTCCTTGGATCATGACTAAAAGTATACCTCCGTAACTTTATTTGCCCCAGGCTAAGACTCTCTGAATTGAAATGTTCACTTTAGGCTGCAATCACAAACCCATGATCCTGGAAGTAAGCTCTATTGAATACAGTGGGACTTACTTCGGAATACGTAGGCATAGGCTTTCACTGTTGAGGGAGTAATTTGAAAACCGCAAACATCTGATTTCAGGAAACCTATTTCATGTGAGACTGAAAGTGAAACGCAGAACGCTCCCACCACTTGGCCCAGCAACAAAAGTCCATTTATTGCACAGGATCAAAACATCTTCCATTCATGGCAGAATTTTTGTTCTAGGAATATCTCATTTCCCCAGCAAACAGCTATATGTTTCTGCTGAGAAAATAGAATCCTTTGCTCAGCAAGCCGTTTGGAGTGCTGACTGGAGTATAGTTGCACAAAAGGCATGACCCCCTGATATCACTGAAGCCACAGTACTCCCATCACCCAATGCTTGCCCTATGTTGTGACCCTAACACCAAGGCTGAGCCTGCAGAGAGGGGATCTGAATAGGGGAGATGGAACTGATTTGTATCCAGGCCAAACAGAGTAAGGAAGCAAAGGCCTTTATTGTTTATCAACCCTATCTCCTGCCAAGCATCCAGTTTTCAGTGAAGGGTGTAACTTCAAAATTGTGACATGTGATGCTGCTGGAGCAGGAACTAGTCATCATGCCCTGACTAGTAAGGGGATGGTGGGCCATCCCCTATTTTTTAGAGTTTTGTTTGTTAATTAGTCGTGTCCAACTCTTCGTGACCCCATGGACCAGAGCACGCCAGGCACTCCTGTCTTCCACTGCCTCCTGCAGTTTGGGACCTACAAATCATAAAACCACCCAAACCCAAGTCTTTAGCTGCAGAAGAGACACCAAGGTTACAGTCCTATGACTAATTATTTGTTAGTAAGCCAGTGAATACAGCAGGGTTTACTTCTGAGTAAATATGATAGGATTGCTGCTAGTGCAGTCCTAGCCATGTTTACTGAGAAATAAGTCCAGCTAGGTACATCAGGGCTTACTCCCAAGGTAGTACATGTAGAATTACAGCCTATGCGTGTGACCACACTTCTTGGTAATTTAACAATATGTTTTGAAAAAGAGAGAGAGAGTGATTTTTAATGTTTGTTGGGCAGCTGCATTGAGGAGGAAATTATTTCTAATTGAAGAGTACAGTCAAAGCCATGTTACCTTGGTACATTGTCTGCATAGCCCACCCCAAAGAATGGTTATGATGTAATATAAATGGAATGGGATGAACTAGTCCAATAAAATCACAAAGGCTGTTAAGCATTTTCATTCCATCCTTATCAGAATGTCTTTCATCTCAGTTCCTATCAGGATAGAGGCACAGTGTGTGATCTGATCTCAGTGCCAAGTGACCTTGCAATTATTTTCAAAAGATCTCAGCTTTTGTAACGGAGGACTTACATTTTCAGAAGAGGTTAGAATCCCGCTTTTAATCCTGCCCGCTGACTTTGAGCTCTTTGGGATGTCTGAATTATTGTGTGCCTATGAAAACATGACAAAAGCATACTGGGCTGACTTCCAGAGGTGCTGAGCCTCCAGAGCTGAAGTTTATGTAAGTTAGCCAAATCCTGCTTCAATGGCAGATCCAGGAAAACCTGCCCTTGACTCCCGTGGAGTTACACTGCGTCATTGCTAATATAGTAGGAAAACCATGCTTGGTGTACAGCTTATTATGACATGTAAGACTGGACTTGGTACAGCAAAGCCTGATTTAAGATAGCTTTTGAAATCTATTCTCTGGTATTGAACCTGGAGAATAGACTAAAAGGCATGTCATGTATTACCACAGCTGAAGCTAAGTGGGTCTCATGCTCACCTTGTAAGTTGCCCAGATGGGAGAGTGTCTAGGAACAAATCGCTGCCGCCCTTAGATTTTGAAAGGGAAAGGGGGGTTCCAACAAAACAAACAGAGTAATCCCAAGAAAAATCTCATCCCTCCCTGCTGCTTGCATTCTGAAGCTTTGGTGATGTCTGCACTACCTGACTGTTGCCCAAACAGTGCTTTCCTTCCCAAGAAAATATATTGCACCTGTCTCTGCTTATAGGCCGGTGAAACTCAGCCAGATGGATGGGGTATAAATAATAAATTATTTATATTTATTTATTTATCTATCTAACAAGATGAAGAATACTTTGAGAATCAGGAAATGCTCAGGTCATATCTAATTTTTGTGTGTCCCTGAACTTCTGTTACAGTCATAGATTTGCAGACTAAACTAATGAGGCCCTGGAAAGGTTTGCACCCATTTAGAGAAACATTGTCTGTCTCACTGAAATAGCAGCACCATGAATCTCATCACAGTGAACGTATTTTCATGGCTTTTTGAATCTGATTTCAAGGCACAGCTCAGAAGTAACAAAATGGGGTTTTATGCTGCATCTCAGACACTCTGGAATACTACTTGCCTTGTTGATTCAAACATGGCATAGTATGATAGGTAGGTTTCTGAGAGCCTTACCTACCTGCAGTTCTTACCTCAGTCTTCTCTGGTAAATATCTTGAGTCAGGGTTGTTTATTATTATTATTATTATTATTATTATTATTATTATTATTAAAGAAAGAAAACCTTACAGCTGAGAAATGTTGGCTTATAAAAGACCTATCAGCCAGAAACCCCCTTTCATCATACTCTCTGGGCACACATAGTGTGGCATTGAGAATTCAATGCCACACTATGTTGCATGTTCAGTGTGCACAAGCATTTTGGCTGGTCTGATGGACTGATCCTCTTCCCCTTGCTCTTTTTCTGGGAGTTTTCATGACACCCCCCCCCCAGAAAAGTCATGTAGATACCCCATAAAAAGGGATTTGACACAAGCCCTCTTCAGGCAATTGCTGAGAAAAGTGTAGGGGGCAGCAAGGCAGCATGTCAGAGTTTGTTGCTCAATGCCTAGGAAGGTCTGAAGACGGACTCTTACTTGTGTTTGGACAAACTTGGATTACTCTGCACAACTGGAAATCCTGAGAACAGACAGTTCCTTCTCTCATCTGAGAATCCCACTTCAAGTTCAGATCTTCTTGCTTTTTGTGGAGTGGGAACATAGCACACACCCTACACTTGTTACGCCAGCCCTGCTTGTTTGAACACCCAAAGAAGGCTGAAGAATGGCAAGACGGTCCATTTCCTGGCATGGTTTGAATCCATACTGCAAACAGACTTCAAAGGAGCTCCCTTTCAGCACCCATCAGCTTCTCGGCCTCTGAAAAGATCACCAGACATCCTAATAATGCCTACCTAGCAAAGTTATCCCACAGCAGGGCAGGGAAAAGGTAAGCCAGCTTCCCATCCCTACCTGAAGAGGAAAGCCTTTTTTCAGGTAGTTCTTGTTAAGTTGTGGGTGAACATATCAGACGACACAGCGATTCTTCAAACAGCTCTTGTTTATTCACAGGCCTGAACTGAACTGAACTGAAGGGTTCAGCCAGCCTGCTTATATAGAGCTCCACTAGAATGCAACAGCAACCACTTTCTGTAACTATCCAATCACTGAACATCACTTTCAATCCCTTATTTGCATATGTGGACCTGAGTGAAAACTATCTACAGTATCCCCCTGCTGGCCCAGGGTGAGAACTCCAGTACATAACAGTTCTCTAAATGGTTATGAGCAAAGACAATCTTTGTTATGTCTACTGAAAAGATATACAGGAAGGCTTTGTCAGTATTCCATAACAATTGTGTCCCTTTTTTATTTTTAGTCCTGATATTCTTTTAAAATAAAACAGCAAGAGGGATCATTTTGCATTATTTTAGCATAGAACCATTCTCCCACTTATCTTTCGTTATCATCTGTCAACTAAGGATGGCACCAGCAGTTTATTTGAATAGGAATGAAACAGTCTCAGTCTTGTTCGTGCCCCAATGTGGCAGGCATCCAACAGCAGAAAAAGTTAAAACAATTTTTAAGAAAAGAAATAAAAAAGGAATGGACATTGAGCTCCAGGCTTTGTTATGTAGGAAACTTTTAATGATTAATGGAAAAATATAAACAATTAAGAAATGTTTACTCTGTCGATCCCCACTCCCCTGGCAGCTCAATTAGTACAATACATCAACATCTCAGTTTTGAAAGGCTTCCAATGCACAATATAGCTCTGAAATACAAAGCACTTATACTACAAAGTTATAAGGCCTGTTTATATTCCAGGTGGGGAAATAGATTGCTGTCTTTCTGCAACTGTGCTTCAGGCCCACAGATCAGGCAGATCCATGCAGTAATTTAAAAGTGGAAGTCCTTGAAATCCGTCCAGTCACATTATGTCATCTTGGTCTTGGGCTGATATACAAATGTTTACTCCTGGGAAAGAGATTTGGAAAGGGATATTTCAGGGTTTATAGATTCAGCATTAGAAAAGCCCTGGAGAGAGAACCTTCCACAATGGAACAGGTAATTTGCTGGCTTACAGAACTGACCAGGGAAAGCACAGAGTCGGGATAGAAAACATAAAATGTACTGTGCGTTTTCGCACGAGAGCAAAATGCAACCCATTCCCTCGTTTTAGAAAGCTTTAATCTATTTATATTGCAGACCTGCCCAGTTCAAGAAATTAGAATCAGGGAATCTAAACCTTTAAAAAGCAGGAATATATATGGTGAAGGGCAGAGGATCAGATTTCAGCTCTTGCTATAATTAAGTTTCGTCCAGAATTAAAACAGTTTACACAGCTGGAGTTTTAACTTGGGCCATTCTGTACCATGGTTACAGCCTTTACAGGGGAAGGGTGTTTTAGTACACATTTCTTCCATTTTGTTGTGTTTTGAAATGGTGACAATTGACTCCAGGTGAGCTGGGCTCAGCAGCGGTATAAACAGCCAGCTAAATTAAAACCACACTCCAATAGCCTCTACCAAAACTGGCTGGACGGTGTATTTTCGGATGGTGGACACACCCTTCCTGATGTTCCATGTCATCAGAAAGTAAAGAACTTTCCACAAAACTAATTATATTTTTTTGTGTGATACATACATATGTGGAAAATGTCTTGAAGTTCTTTGATCATATTATGAGTTTGGGGGAGGTTAAGGAATTGGCTAAGCAGGTTCCTTTGTAGATGAAGACCAGATGGTCACTTTTAGTGCTCTGCTTCACTCAAAAGGGGGTAGGTTGGGTTTCAGTTTGTAGCATCTAGGTGACAAAGAAGCAACAAGCAGGGCTGGAAAGTATTGCTGTGTAAATGAAGTGGAGGAGACAGTGAAGCTGAGGATGGAGAGATATGGTTAGCTCTGTGCTGCTTTGTGCTGGAATTTGGGGCTTGCTGGCAACAGAGTGAGGAAGCAAGATCTGGTGAGGTGTTAATGCTATGAGCCCCTCCATCCTAGGCACAGTTTGTATATAAGTGTAAATAAAGCCATATATCCTAAGGACATCACAGTCTCCGTTGACCTCATTCCAAGGACACGGGAACCCCTGGATTCTCTCACTGCTCAGAGATGGGCAGTGGATTCCAACAATATACCGTAACAAGACTTGCTTGTTAATATTTTACTACTTTGGGTAAGGAGCTTAAATCAGTTGTTGAACCTTACAATATTGAGGATGCTTCCAGATGGGTGTTTATTCTGATGCACACAGGTTCCCCCCCCCCCCGCAGTGTCCACATGATGTTACTGCAATCAAAATGCCGGCCTGCCTTCTCATTTAATCCAGATTTACAGCTGGTATGTGGAAACTGGGATTGGCCACCTCAAAGTGGCTGTGGCTCAGTTCAGCTGCATTGCCAAGCCAGGCTTCAGCACTATGGCAGCCTTCACCAACTTAGCACCTTACAGATATTTTGAACCACAACTCCCATGCTGGCTGATGGAAGTCGGAGTACAAAACATCTGGAAGGTACCTGGCAGGCAAAGGCAGCATTATGGGAGCAAATGTTGTGATCACACATTCTCTCAGCCCCCTCCTTTGGCATCCTTCTAGCTACTTCTGATTTAGTACAAAGCACAATTTTTCCATTCCCTCCATAGCAGCAGCCTAGGCTTGTAATTTTCCTCCAAAGTACGATTGCAAGCCATGCAAAGCTAGTTAGCCGTCCTGGTTTGTAGGACTGGCATAGCTTCAGACATAACAGCAGCAGAGGAAGTAACAAACTGAGTATACAAGGGGAAGAAGACGAGAACTAAGGAGCACATGAGCAGAAGGCTATTTCTCACAGCACCCAGCTATCAGCTCTGAGCTGGCCGCATGTGTTTTAATGTATGTTCCATATGAAATCCAACACTTTCCCCATCATAATATGCTGATGTGAGAGATATCCACATTTTTTGGGGGGGGGATCACCCTCAATCTATAGTCCAACTAAGATGGCTACACAACGCTTCTGTGACAAGACTAGCCCAATATATTTGCTTTTGGTTCAAAGTATTTGTCCATTAAAGGTGGCAAGTTGCATTACTCATGAGATACACACACTGGCTTTGCAGTAGCTTTCAACTGTCCTTGATTTCCCCCTTACCCACCATGCCACCCTCTTCAAAGTTGCTTCTATGGGTTGGTTCCTCCAGAACAGTATGGGACAAGGCACAAAGGGCTGCAGTAGGCAAGGAAGAATCCCTTTTTTATGAGAATCAGTGTTTTCTGCTGCTTCAAAGCTGCCATTAGATATAATCCATTTATTTTTGAAGTACAGGAATAGCTATGATTTCAAAGTACACTCAGTTGGGAGCTGCCCAGCATGATTTTCTGATAAGCGTCACTGTTTGATGCTGTGTAATGTCCCTGTTTGTTTGATCACATTCACATTTTACATTTTTACCTGCACCCAAAAACCCTTAGGTGGACATCTAAACAATGTTATGTGCACAGCTGGGTCACAAGCTGTATTCACTGTCCTAAACATCCCAGCTGCAGGGCTAAAAAATTGTCTGACCTCGTGACAGGTAATTGATTCTTAAATCTACTGCAGTAACATTAAGCTACACTGATGGCTGAACTCTAAAACTACTTTCCAAGTATTAGCTAATGCAAAAATAGTGATTTATCAGTGTAAGAAAATGTTTCTTTATCACAACCAGGTTTCCCCAGGTCCCCAGCCCCGCCTTTCTAAGTAATACCCTCATTTATAACTAGGAACAACTTGGGATGGGCCTAACGTTTTGCAACATTAGTGTTTCAAAACAAAATGTGCCTTTCAGTTGCCCTGATACCCTTGGAAACATTTCATTTTAATGACTTGAAATATTGTAGTAGTCTCATAAAGACTTACTGCTGCAAATGCCTTGAGTATATAATTGGACGCAGGGGAGAGTCCTATTCACTTCACTGAAACTTTACTACGCAGCTTAATCCTATGCAGGTTTGCTTGTCCTGCTGAGCTTAGTATGGCCAAAGTAAGTGCATGTAAGATTGCAGTTTTAAGATTGCATCCTGGCTGATACATTATGTGACTGGTGTGTGTCCACATTGATTAGCTCATAATGCCTCAACATCAGGACTTTGTTCAGCCAGAACTCACCAGAACTCAGTTCTGGCACCTCTCAGACAGGTGCCACTGCCATTCTTAGAAAATGAGAGAGGTCTCTATTGGTGAGTTTTGGCATCTTTTTCTAGAAAAATAGCACAACATATTTCTCACTGCATGCTCAGTGGAACTGACAGCACAGATCCAACTAACCTTTGCAAAAAAATTGCAACATATATCGAGAGGAATCAAATGATGTGCTCTTCCAATCATTCCATTTGTACAAGCATTTCAGTTTGTCCCTCCCCCCTCTCCTCTCCTTGCATGATGTTCTGGAGGTTCTCCTGACCCCTCCCCTCCCGACCCAATTTTGGGGTGTGTTGGGAGGAGAGATGGGGGAAAGTCTTGTTGCAGAAGTGGAGGTCCTTGCACAGGGCTTCCACTGTTGGGGCTGGTTAGGTGACTACAGCCCACAGGCTTTTAAAATATTTCCTGAATCCAACAGCAGATGCAGGTTTCAATTTTGCTTATTTACAGGGCCATCAGTGTCCATTGCACTTACAAGTACAAAGAGGTCAGGGCCCTGCTCTGAAAACTTTGCAAACTAAAATTTGGCATCTGGGAAACGAGAGAGGAAGGGAGCAGGGCTGTCTTAAGCATATCCGGCACCGTGGTGCAAAGCTCCCTCCGGTGCACCTCCACCCACCCCATTTCCCAGAGTTCTCAACCTTTTTTTAGGGAGGACCGGTGGGGCTGGAGAAGGCAGGCAGTGGCTGGAGGGTGACTCCTCTGGTGAGGAAGAGGAGGAGACTGGACTAAATCCAGTCCTGGCTAAGCTGGCTGCTTCATGCTGCGGTGGCCACGATAGACAGAGGCTCTGGGCGCGGCGCTGCTTTGGCGCAGCATGGCGGAGGTGGGCAAGGGCGGCGAGCTGATGCCAGGAGGTGCCGTGTCCAGCCTCTGCCTCTTCCCTGGTGCCCTCCAGAACTTGGCGTCCTGGAGCCCCGCCACTAGCCTCTATGGGTAAGATGCCCCTGGAAGGGAGGAATGGCTGGCTTGGGGGTGAGGGCAGAGACTGTTGCTCTCCTGCTTCTGAACACCCTGCACCACTGCTGCTTACCACAAGAGGAGGCGTTGGAGAGAGCAGCCAGTATGGGTGCAGCAGCAGAGCCAATCAAATCTGACGTTCCTGCTGCTGCACCTGCTCTGTGATGACCTCCCTGCTGACTTCATAGTAAGAAGCAGTGAGCTGCAGCATTCTGAAAACACTTGAGCAATGCAGCACCACCCATGCTGCTCCACAGGGAGCGATACAAAAGTGTTTTAGTGTACTTGGGAAGGGGAGACAATTATCATTGGGGATAATGGTGGCGGAGGCTGCACAGCTACCTAGCCCACTGCAGATCTTCGCAGTGTCAGGTCATAAGAACATCACCCCCCTCAAAATAAAAAGCTGGTGTTGGTCCCTGGCATTTGCCTCACCCTGCCAGATGTTGACACTGTGAGGCTGAGTTGCATCAGGGCATGGGAACTAGGGCGTTGTGCCAAAGGTTTTACAGAAAAGGTGGGTGCTCAGAAAACATGATTGCATAACACAGGAAACTGCACCAAGAAACATTTCACTGAAAAGGGGAGGGGTTATTGGGTTGTTGTTGCTTTTCATTTGATTACGTATTTTGTAGTTTTAGATTTAGATTTTATTCTGTGAACTGCCCTGAGACCTGCGGGTATAGGGCGGTATAGAAATTCAATAAATAAATAAACAAATAAAATTAAGAAGAAAACACATTACTCACCATTATGAATGCAAATGTTGTGGTCCTAAGGCTGTTGCATGGATGTAAGTGTGCTGGCGGTTGTGACCTTTGCTTGCTAGCTGGTATCATTGCTAGACAACCTTATA